AGCAAGCTAGTGGCTATGTGATGTCTTTTAGAACTTCACAAATAATCTATCCCTGGAGGAATAAGATTTGCTTACTCTTTTCATTATTGCAGTTTGCACAGTAACAGCTTTTCACAACAGTTATAAAGTAAATACACCTATTTGATGATCTAGCCATATTTGACTCGATGATCCTCTGGTAGTGATTTTTAAAGATAATGTTGATTTTAATATTTTATTCATTTTACATGTACTACCCTTAAATTGAGTGTTCTCTTTTTTTTTTAGGGCAGGGTAAAGAGGGGGAGTTGATCAATTTTCACTGTGTGTGTACACAATAATTAAGTCACGTTGCTGTAATTATTGCTTTTACAACAGCATTAAAGACTTTTCACTCCTAAAATATTTGTCTGTTCTCTTTGAGCTGTTAGAATAAAGCAGTCAGGATTCGTAAGTAATGAATGCATGTGCCATAGACATTAATGTGACCATTCACAAGGACAGAATTGTGGTCTGTATTTGTAGCTGTTTAGGTTCTTCTGCTTCACTGTGACAACGTGGCTACTTTTAGCACTAACATTGCTTGCAGGAGCCCTTTTAGGGGAATCTCTCTAAACTCTCTGTAGAAGCATTAGTTTTATTAGCATCTGTGGGCCAGCTTCTGGAGGATGATAGTCAGATATATACCTAGTTATTTCTCCATTCAAATCATCCCTTCATTAAAAAAAAATCTTTTTTTATATCATATTTTTTTCCTCACTAAAATCCTAAACATCTCCATTATTCTCCTTTGAATCTTTTTATTTTCCTGCATGAAGCTCTAAGTGACCAGGTGACCTAACTTAGGGTTTTCTGTTTTATAAAGTCCCCTTTTTAACTTATCAATGCCGCCTGTTTGCCCAACTGCTGCTGTGTACCAGGCCTCCAGTGGCATCAGTTTTTCACAGAGGGTCTCTGTTAGCACTGCGACCTCCTCTTTAGGGTGTACAAAAAGCTATTATGCTCCCTGGATTCATTATGCTGACTGTAGAGACAGGTACAAAATACACTGATTCAGCCAGTGAGGCTCCTATGGAGTTTTCCTACAGCAGAACTCCTGGGAAAGGACAGCAGTGCAAACCATTGCCTGAACTCACCAGGAATTCATTTCCCCAGGGGAACGGCAGTATCCTGTTTTACCAAAGATCATTTTTCTCCCCTGCAAGGTAGGTGATCCTTAGCACACAGAGAAACTTAGGACATTCTTTTCACCGTTTAATCTAGCTTAATTTGCTGCCCTTTGGTTTACTTGTCTGTAGAAGAGGGTCTGTCAGATGCACCAAGTTTTGCCTTTGATTGTATACACATGTGGTCTGACTGAAGTCATCATGGGGGCGCAGACCTTGGATTTATATGTCCAATAGTGATTATATTTTTCCAGTCTGTCTCTTCCGTCCTTAAGAATACTGGGCCAGATCCTCAGGTGGTCTAGATGGGCATAATTAAGTTGATGTCAATAGAATAAAGCCATGTTGTTCCATCTGAAAAGCTGGCAAATGCACCAAATATACGATATTTTCTCACATACAGCATGTCCCAGAATATAATACACACTTTGTTTTTGAAATGCAAAATGAAGAAAAATGCTTTTCCCAGTCAGTCTATCCCAGTTAGAAAGTCAGTTTCCCTGTTTAATAAATATACCCCAATTTTATGGGAGAAAGGTATATGTTGTATGTGAGGAAAATATGGTAATAGGTAAAACAGATCAACATTATATTTACTTCTGTGTGTTTGTTTCATAACACTAGTTCATGCTTAATGTAGTGTTAATACTACTGCCATTACACCAGCTTTTTAATTGCTTTCTTGTTTCCTCTGTTTTATATTTATTCAGTCCTTGTTATTCCTTTTTATGTTTTCAAGCTAAGTTTTGTAATAAAGATAAGATGAAAAAGGATGACAGTGCCTCATAATCTTCTAGTCCTCCTGTTGTATGTCATGGTTTGTTTTACCAAATTGTTTATCTTTTGGATCACTGTTTTGTGTTTTTGGTTCATAATTTTTCACTTTACTCTACACAAGCTGAGTTTAAAGTGATATTACCATTACTGGTCAGCCTTCCTACCTGCAGGAGACTTTTTTTCCTTGATCCTTTAATATTATTTTAATGATGAGAAAGATACCAGCATGGTAGCCAACATTTAATCCTCTGCAATCAAATATAGTAATATGTCTTTTTCAGTAATCTCCAGGACCTTTAAGACTGTTAATTAGGCCTCCCTTGTGAGGTGTATGATTAATTATGTGGCACATACATTTGGTTTGCTGTTGTTATAGGTTGTTAAACTGTAACACAGAAATGTTACTCACAGTGACCTCACACAGTGACATAGTTTGAGTTGATAGCTTCATTAGGTGATGTGTTATACTTCACATATTCTAGTTTAGTTCTACTCGCTAGCGGCATGTTTTGCTCTTTCCCTCAAATCCATCACTTGTTTTCAGATATCTTTCTTGCACTCTAGCCAAACTTTATTCTATCCTAAAGATATAAGAAATAAAATGCTTGTATATTTTTCAATGTTTTGATAAGTTGGTTATGTTCCCTATAGTGAAAGTCAGTTTTTCTATTGACTTTAAGGACTCAGAAGCAGACCTTTAACTGTTCTAGGTGTTCTTCCTCAGGGTTATATATGTCATTGGCTGTATTTAAATGTTCAGAGAAGAGTTTTACTTTATAATATGCTCACCCTCTTTGTCAGATCAGGAGTGATCTCATTTCTATTCTTTAAGCTAGAGTTAGGAAGGAGGTTATTAAGTTGACTTGTATCCTGTCACTATCACCTATTTTTTGCAGCCAAACCTTCAATTAGTTTATACTTTTTGCCAATGCAAAAAAGATTTTTGGTCTATAAGGAGGAGGTAAATTATTGGAGACTGTAAAATTTATTGCTGACTTCAGTTAAATGTTTTCCTACTGCAGAAATTTGAACTCTGTGAAACATTTGCCTAGAGAAGAAAGCGAACAAACCCTTTGCCAGCTTTGCAAAAGGGCAGCTGTTTTTGTGCTGTTGCTAGGCACATTTCATTATAAAGAAAACAAGAAAGGAGAGGCATGACTCGAGCCCACCCTCCCACTCAAAACAGTGGTTGGAAAGACTTTTTTAAAGTCATTTTTGTTATCTTCATTTGCAGACCTTGCAAACTACAATTCATTGCTTCAAAACAAACGGACAAGCTTTGCTCATGCTACTCAACCAAGCCATTCCATTCATCTTGGAGAGAAAAAAAATGAGATTGTCAACTCTTATAAATATGAGTCTAGTGATATTTGTCCCCTCCTCCCCCCGCCACTTAAATCCTTGGTTTCTAAATTTATGATTATCCTTGAATCCCAGTTTTATCGTATAAAAATAAAGATCTCTCACATGTTTGCAGAGAAAAACCTTGAAAATATGCACCTTGAAAACTCAAAACCCAGAAGATAGACACTCTAGTTTTATAAACAGTTGCTTGTTTCCTGGAAGAAACCTGTTTGAGTAAATGCAGAAAATAACCCTGTCTGGCCCAGTAGCTGGACTTTTCCCATAAAAGCTTTTAAAATTACTTGTGGGAACATCTCAAGCAAAGCTGAGAAAGCTGAGAAATTTGTGTTTCTCCAAAGCTTGGTCCACCTGTTATATAATTTTATTTTATACTTAATATAGGAGAGTCCAGGGCTAGGGACAGACATTCAAAAAGCTGAGCCTGAATTGATTCAATCTTTGAAGGTTAGTCTAACCTTGGCTAGGGTAAATCAGTTTGTAATGGAACAGACATCCCAGACATGCAGGTACATGCCTGAAGTGGCTCAGGCTAGAATCTGGGGGTTCTAGCACAGCCCTCCCTTCCCTTCCACAGGGCTGAGTTGAGCGGGGCATGGCCAGGCCCCAGCAGGATTAGGGAGGAGTTCCCTCCCCCCCCCCTTGTTAACAGAGCATTTTCAGCATAAAGGCAGGATTGTCCCTGACTAAATTGTTCCAGTCAAGTGTCTGTTCAACCTACTCTCGAAATTTCTAGGGATGGAGATTTCTCAGCTTCTCTAGGTAGCCTGTTTCAAAGCTTAACCATCTTCACAGTGATAAAGTTTTTCCTAATATCCAACTTAAACTTCCCTTCCTGCAATTTAAGACTGTTGCTCTTTATCTTGTCCCCATCAGCCATAGAGAATAATCAAATTCCATCCTCCTTATAATCACCCTTCAGGTAGCTGAAGGCTATTATTTAATCCCCGCATAGTCTTCCTGCTCCTCTTCCCAGACTAAACAGCCCTAGTTCTTTCAGCTTTTCCTCATAAATCATGATTTCCAGAGCTCTAATAATTTTTGTCACTCTGCTGTACTATTTCCAGTCTGTCCACATTGTTCTTGAAGTGTGGAGCCCCAGATCAGACATAGTACTCAATGGGAGTCCTCACCATGCTGAAGAGTGAGTGACTCACTTCCCTTGATTTGCAAGAGGTGCTTCTGTTAATACAGCCCACTATGCTCATCACCTTTTTTGCAACAAGAGCACAGCGTTGGCTTGTGCTTAGTTTATGGTCTGCTTTAATGCTCAGATTTTTGTGGGTGCTAGAACAAATTATTTTAGTAATAGGAATAATTGCATTTATGATCATAGAGAAGTAGAACTGGGAGGGACCTCCATAGGTCATCTAGTCCCATCCCCTCTTGAGGCAGGATTAATTCTACTGCGTTAATGACAAAATTGGTATTAAAGAAGACAACAGTTGAGATTTGATGATAATGGCAAAATTATTCTTATTAGCTTTAAATTAGGCAGACTTAAATGCATACTGGATTCTGGTAATAGCAAGTTATTTAAAAGGCAAAATATAAAGCCAAAGCTGAAATGTCTACTTTTGAATATGAGCAAATTCCCTCTTCCCTTTGTTCTCTGTTTCATTTCAATAGCATGATGCCTGATGAACAAATGTGCATTGTGAAACTCCAATGGTCTTCATAAAAATAGTTAAGGAGTTTGATGCATTTCTGGTGCAGGTACCTGGAACTGGAAAGCAGCGGTCATCGAAATGAAATCAGATTGCATTACCGTTCAGACAGCCATCGCTCACACACAGAAGTGTTCCCGTACATTTTGGCAGATGATAAGTGGCATAGACTTTCTCTAGCAATCAGTGCATCACATTTGATTTTACATGTGGACTGCAATAAGTAAGTATAGTGTTTTATGTTAATATTTGGAACATTCCAACTCAGCAGTAAGTGAAAGAATAACAGTTGGGTTTATTTTGTTTGCTTTTTTCTGTTTTTTGACAGAATTTATGAAAGAGTTGTGGAGAAGCCCTACATGGACTTACCTTTGGGTACAACCTTTTGGTTAGGACAGAGGAATAATGCACATGGTTTTTTTAAGGTATGTTTTTCCTCAGAAGAAAACAGTTGAAACTGGCAATGTTGTTAACTGTATATCCATAGTGTCACGGCACAGGGTCCTAGGAGCGGCCGTGATCTCTCCAACGCCCCCTACCGTGCCAAGCTGGCACCCTCATTCTTGGCTGCCACGTCTTTGATGTTATCTATTTTTTTTTTATAAGGGAGGCTGCCTTTTGTCCCCTTGGACACGGTGCTCTGGTTTATCCTGACCCCTGGTTCTTTATAAACTGACTTGGCGCACCCCAGCCTTATGGGCTATACGTGGCTCCAACCTCCCCAGTACCACGCCCCAAGCCTTGCAGATGTCTCAGACGTTATTTTGGTCGGTTTCCTTTCTGAGCCCTCACTGGCGCCCCCGGGCTTGTCACGCAGCCAGTGCCCACTCACTGGCGCCCCGGGCTTGTCACGCAGCTGACGCCCACTCACTGGCGCCTCTCACAATTGGGGCTCAGGTGGCCGTAGCCATGCCTGGCCCCCCAAATCCCCTCTTCAGGTCTTACGCCCACTGGGCTCCATACAATTGGGGCTCAGGTGGCCGCAGCCGTGCCTGCGAGCTCTAAACCATCAGGCCCTTTATCATCATTCCAATCCCTACCAGGGCTTCCTCCACCCGGTATCCTCACCCATAAGCTGTTCAGGCCATCGGTCTTCTCTGCTCTGCTTACTGTCGCAGAGCTCCTACTTCCTCGGCTGCCAGAGGGGAACTGCCTTTCTGGCCTCAGCCTGGACTACATTTATATAGTTCAGGCCCTGCCCCCTTCCAGTCAGCTGACCAACTGCGGTTGTCCCAGCAACCAGCACCTGTATCTCTTCTTAGGAGCAGGGCACCAAAGTGCCCCTGCGACACATAGCAGTGAAAATATTTCAAATACCGTGATGTGTAGGATATGTCAGGTAAGAATCCTTTACATTCAGTACATCTATGCAGGAAGTACTTGCTGACACAGGGATGCAAAAATTCCATTATCTAGCACCAATAAGGCAGCTGTCATAGTTTCATAGTTGGTAGAGTCGGAAGGGACCTGAGCAGATCATCAAGTCCAACCCCCTGCCATGGCAGGAAAGAGTACTGGGGTCAAACAACCCCGGCAAGGTGTTCATCCTGCCTCCTGTTAAAGACCCCCAGGGTAGGAGCCAGCACCACTTCTCTTGGAAGTTGGTTCCAGATCCTAGCAGCCCTGACTGTGAAGTAGCGCCTCCTGATATCTAGCCTGAATCTACCCTCTGTCGGCTTGTGACCGTTATTTCTCGTCACTCCTGGGAGTGCTCGGGGGAACAAGGACTCTCCCAATGCCTGCTGGTCCCCTCTGACTAGTTTGTAACAGGCCACTAGATCCCCCCTCAACCTTCTCTTGTAGAGGCTGGGCAAGTTCAGGTCCCTTAGCCTCTGTTCGTAGGGCCTGCCCTGCTAACTCCTGATCATGCGGGTGGCCCTCTTCTGGGCCCTCTCCATGTTGTGCACATCCCTCCTGAAGTGCAGCACCCAGAACTGGGCTCAGTACTCCAACTGTGGCCTGACCAGTGCCGCATAGAGGGGGAGGATCACCTCCCTAGACCTGCTTGAGATGCATCTGTGGATGCATGACAAGGTACAGTTGGCTTTCCTGACCGCTTCCCCACACTGTCGGCCCATGTTCATTTTGGCATCAATAATGACTCCAAGATCCTTTTCTGCTTCTGCGCTGACAAGAAGGGAGTTCCCCAGCCTCTAGGTATGCT